TCGGACGTGTGCACTTTTTCTCGGCGAAGGTTATTCAAGGGCTCCCTCGAGGGCGCGAAGTTATTCGCGCTTCGCGCTTCGCGGTCCTCGTTCCTTCTCCTCCTCCTCCTCGTCCTCCTCTTCTCCCCCTTGGGGGGCGGCGCGAGAGCGCGAAGTTATTCGCGCTTCGCGCTTCGCGCAGCGCGAAGCGCGAACTTAGGAGCCCTTGGTTATACATGACCAATGGCGGGCTGTTTTTCAATCCGGGGTCGAGGACGACGATGGGGATGGTCTGGTGCATACTTGTTTCCCCGATGTCCCGGGGAAGCAACGAAAAATGTATACACCAGGGTCCCGTATACACCAGGATCCGCTCTCCAGTGCAAATCCGAATGCAGGGTCGGAAGAAGCGTCGGTGTATAGAGTTCGACTCCCTAGAAAAGCCACGCACGAAACCGAAAAAGCCGAACACGAAACCGCAAGAAGCACAGGGACGGGACGTCCGAGCGACGGGGCGGATTCAGGGGGTGCTCGGCGCGTCCCGAAGGGCCGCCGGAGGCTCGAGTTTCGGGGGAGCGTAAGACCCGGGTTTGCCGGGACTCGGGTTCGCCATCGTTTTTTGACGACCGCGACTCGGATTTTGACGAGGAGGAGTTTTGTGGGATGTCTGCAGCGGGAGGCCTCGTCAAAATGCAGGCTCGGCCTCGTCATTTTTGTGACGACCTCGTCGGGGATTTCCGAGTCCCCCGTACCCGGGTCTTACGTCTCCCCGAGAGTTGCGACCCCGGAAACCACGCCCGACTGTGCGCCAGGCGGGGGGCCACCGAGAGAGGGCACTGGCTCTTCGGCAGGCGGCAGGGCCTCTCAGAGGCCCTCGGGCTCTCGGAGCACCCCGGGGGGCCTCCTGGCCCTCAGTCACCAGGCGCGTTCCACTACTCGCACAGTGCCTACTCGCAGACGTCAGAAAAAAAACACACGTTCGCCTCGATGTGATTTATCGTAAATCCTCCGCGGCTGGTCCAGGCCATTTGCGAGTAGTGACTTTGCGAGTAGTGGAACGCGCTTGTCTACTCAGATCCCCTCGGGGCCCCAAGCTCCAGGCCTGACGCAGGGGACCCGAGCAGAGGGGGGCGAAGGATCGCGCCGCATCGCCGAAGCCCGACTGTGTTCCATGCCGACGGCGCCATCGGCGATGCAGCGCGATCTTCCGACCCCATCTCTCCAGAAACCAGTCTGGAGTCCTCCAATAGCCAGCCACAGGCTTCCAGCGTGGTGGCCTCCGATCTTCGAAAGACGACCATGGCATGTTTGCAATTCGGGACGCTTCGCGTATCCCCACCAGCTTGCACGCTGGCAGAACGACTCCGATTCAGCCAGCCCTTTCCACTCGCCGGTCCGCCGCTGAGGTGCTGCGTGAGGCTCCGCCTAGCCGCTTTAGGTGAGGCTGTGCCACATTGCTTTAGGTGAATTTGTCGTTGCGTGCCCCGCTTTGACGGGACTCGCCGCTGGCGCGCTCGCCTGCGGCCGCTGACTAAAAGAATCCCCACCAGCCCACCCAAAAGCAGACACCAGGCGGGCGAGTTGCTCTGATCAGGCAGCGACGAGAGGCAGCCACTCAGCCAAAGCAGCCACGAGCTCCTTGTGCGTTTGAAAAGTGGCGTCCGCGTCGTTGCGTGCGTTTCGCGGCTCCTCGTGGTTGTCGTAAGTCGGGCGTGTCTTTCTACAGGAGGAATATTAAGAATAGTCCAGGGACGATTTTGTCGACTATATTTGATTCTTTTTCCACCAAGATCAGCCTGTAGGAGGACATGCCCGAACTACTGGTCCTGGGTGGAGTGATTGGTTGCGCGTGCCCAGGGCCGCCTTGGTAGAGTGGCTGCATGTCGTTGCTCGCCTTGCGCGTCCCTCTGGGGAGGCGTCTTGGAGGTATCTTGGGGCCATCATGGGGTCATCTTGGAAGCCTCTCGGGGCTCTATTCGGACCTCTTGTATGGGGCGGGCCTGCGGACGAGATGTGTGCACCGTACCGCGATGGCGCCTCTCGTAGCGTCGTCGATTCTCGACCCATGAATGGTACGGCGCATAGTTTTTGTAACCCCCAGAGACAAACAAATTATGCACCGTACCGCATTGGAGCGGAGCCTGAACGGAGTACAGACATGGTACGGTGCATGGGCGCTGCTCTCGTATAGGCTTCTCTTTGGACCTTCTTGGAGCCCTTTGAAGGGTTTTTGGGGGCATCTTGGGGGCCGTCGAGAACAACTTCATAGATTAGGGTACCCCCGTCTGGGCCAGAAAAAGCTAGCGTCGTGTCGCTTTCTTGGCGCGATCTTGGGACGCTCTTGGGCGCTTTGGGGGCAGTCTTGGAGCCACGCCGGGCCCCTCTTAGGGGCAGAGTGGGCCATCTTAGAGCCATCTTGAGGCCTCAAGAGCCCATCAGAAGCGAAAAGGCGAAACGACTGAACACACGTAACAACATCATGGTTTTCGAACGTGCTGGTCTTCGAGGGGCTTCTTTGGGAGGCTCAGAAGGCACGGGGCCGTCATTGGCGGGCGGGCTCTCTGAGGCAGTTGGAATCTGTGTTGAAACATCCTGGGGTACCTTGAACGATCTTGGAGGCCATCTCAGGCTCCCTGGCACCCTGTTGGGGCCATCTGGGGCCAACAAGCACCCTCTGGCACTCTGCGGGGGGAGGGCTCCAGACCTGGGGGCAGTGGGCAGGGGGAGGGGTCGCTCCCTCCCCGGAGGGGCAGGTGGACGGGGGCTGCCAGAACGAACTCCTTGGGCCACTCACGCCCAGAGGGCTGGTGGCATCAGATTCAGGCGTGTACACCTGCATGGCATGTTGCCCCCGCTCCTCCCCCGCCGACGCCTCTTCTTCCAGGGCAGGACCGAACAAGCGTGCTCTTGTCTTGCGTGTAGTATGGATTTCGGCCAGGGGCTCGCCAGGGAGCGCTCGCACCCATGCAATTATCTATATGTGACCCGTCCTGCCACCGTGCCTCGGTTGTGGTGGACAAGAGGCATCTTTCTTAGAGGTGAGTGGCCTCTTGGGATCTTGTGGGACCTCTGGAGACCTCTTGGGAGACCCACTGGAGGTGTCTTGGGAGACCTCCAGGAACTGGGCCTCTTGGAGGCCTCATGGGAGGCCTCATGGGGGCCTTCGGGGGACATCTTGGGAGCTTCTGAGGGCCTCTTGGGTGCATCTTGGGAGCCTGGAGGCGGTCTTGGTGTCAATATTGGGATGGACGACCAGGAACAAGAACAACCAAAAAACGTTCGAGTCCCACTCTCTTGGGGGCTCGGGGGCCGACTTTGGGCGATCCTTCGGGGCATATCGGGCCGTCCTGGACGCTCTCAAACTCGTAAGTGCGAAAGGCTGGGTGTGCGAAGATAATTCATCAAAAACAGGTTTGTTTTGTATGACGTGGGTCTCCTGGGCCGACCCCACAGGACCTCCAAGGGCGGCCCAAGGGGTCCCCGCGTGGGAGCTCGGGGAGGGCACCCCTTGGGGCCCTGGGAGAGCATACAGGAGGTCTGTACTCCGACGAGCTTTCCTGGAGCGCCTGGAAATGTCCTGGAGTTCGGGGGCCCTGGTTGGAGCCGTCTGGGCGTCTGAGGTGACCCAGCTCTGGTTCCGGCCAGCAGGAAGGGCGGGCAGGTTCGAGTCTCTGGGTTCGGACAGGTCTTTTGTCGTCGCAGATCCGGGGTGGAACATTGCGCCAGATCGACCCCAGGAGGGGTGCGGAGAGTACTTCTGAATGGATTTGGCCCCATCACTTCCTCCTGGCCGATTCTCAGCGGGCCCAACCACTTCGGACCCCCGTGGCCGCCTGAGAGGCTATGGGCTCTTTCTCGGGCAGAACGAAAGGGGGGGGGATAGGGAAAGGGGGAGTTACGAAATCTGCTGCATGCAGCTGGTTTCGGCCCCGCCGCTGGGCCCATTCCTTGATACATGGGCGTCTCCCGGCGCCGGGAGGCGCTCGGAAAATCAGCTACGTGAGCTGATTATCTTCCCTCCCCTTTGGTTTTCCCCCCCTTTCGTTCCCCCCGACACTTCGGACCCTCGTGGTCGCCTCAGAGGCCCTGGGCTTTTTCTGAGGGGCGTGGCGGTCCCCAGGTGCAGACGGCTCTCGCGGGCCAGTCGTGCCTCACGGCCGCGCGGTCCCAGACTCCTCGGCCGCGATGTCGTGGATCTGGTGCGGCTCTGCGCGGACGCCCTGCGCGGAGCGTACAGTGGGGGCCCATGCCAAGAAGCACCCCGCTTGCCTCCAGGGTGCCCTGGGTGTCTTGGGTTTCGATGGTTCTGCGACGGGAGGCGCGACGTCCCCACGCCAGAAGTCAATGGACGTCCTGGGGTCTCAGGGCTGGGTTTCTGGTGGAAGGTTCGTTCTTATTCGTCTTCTTCGTCTTCCTCTTCGTAGTAGTATTCGTACGTTTCTTCTTCCTCTTCTTCGTATTCTTCGTATTATTATTATTATTCTTTCAATGCGTCCCGTGGCCCCCCCTGTATCCATGGTATCGCGCAGGCATGGGATCGGGCCTCGGTGGCCGGACCGCGAGGGCCTGGATATTAGGATGTGCTCGTCGCTCGCGGAGCTCGGAGGGGCACGAGGGCACCCTCGCTCCTCCTCCTCTCGGAGGCTGCCAGAAGGGCTCGTTGGGCTAGGTTGGTGTCGCTGGGCTCGAGGTCAACCCAGCCCGACCTCGATCCTCGTCCTCGATCCTCGTCCTCGTCCTCCTCGTCCTCGATCCTCGATCCTCGAACCAGACCGTCTCGCGTCCTCGATCCTCGTCCCCGTCCTCCTCGTCCGCTTTCGCTCGCATTTGCGGGCCGAACGTCGTGACATGTTCGTTGCGCTCTGACGCGCCGACTGGCTCGTTTCCGCCGCTGCCAAAAAAACACAGAAGCGTTTCCATTCAAGTGAGCCAGCCAGTCGTTCAGGAAAAGCAGCCCGCGGCGGCGACGAAGATGTTGCACGCCCACCGCTGCACGCGCGGCGGCGGATATCTACCTGGAGTGTTGCTACTTCCACCCGGACATCGCCAAGAGAGACGCGAAGTTGTTGCCCTCTCGGGGTATCGAGCCGCCCCCGTGATCATCCCTGCTCCTCCCCTCCTCCTCCTCGAGGAGGTGGAGAACCACGAGTCGATGGCAACAAGCGAACTCTGCGATGCTGTGGGTAGGCACATTGGAAGAAGAAAATTGGCATCAGTGATGCAACCTCCCCACCATGATTGAGATTGATGCTGCAGGTGGACCACTCGGGCCCAGGAGGAAAATGAGGGAGAACGTTAGGAGTGAGCAGAACTAGGGTAGAGTTGGGAGGCCCACCTCCCTCTCCTCCCCCTTGACCCCTGCGGAGACCTCATCCTCCTGCTCCCCCCCTCGGGTCCCAGCGTCGCAAAACAGTCGCGACGGTCGGTGTTTCGTCATTTCATGCCTTCAGGCCGTGTCTCGCTTCCGGCCCCCAGGACCGTCAGGAAACCGTCCGGCATGAAAAAGATGCCTCCGCGGAAGGAGATGAGAATCGGTTGGGGGAATGTTCGTGGCTGGCGTCACACGAAGAAGGGCGTCGGAGGAGAGGGTCCCTTCTCAGCCTTCCACCTTCTCCACTTGCCCCTCCACCCTCCCCCTCCTCCCTCCCCCCCTTTACCCCCAATCCGAGGCTTGATGTTCTGTGCTGCCTTACTAGTGGTTTTCCTATACTTCTGAGGCCTCTTGGAACATCCGGAGACTTCTGGAGACCTCTGCCTCCATGTTTTATTGTGGGTGGATCCTCCCGGTCGCACCACCACAAGACGTGTGATAGGGCGTGGCCTTGCGTTGCGCTTGAGACCTCTGCACCGCTTACGATTTGAAAGGTTGAGAACTCCAGCTGTTACACTGTGACACGGATCGAGGGTGGCCGTGTTTTAGGTAGGAGTCGTTTGGGTGCCGCACATTTTCGTCTCACACGTCCAACAAGTCCACGATGAGAGGGTGGGTCGATTCCAACACGAGGCACCTGCCTTGGCGCTGCGCAGACTCGTCCCAAACGATCCTTGGCATCGCTCGGACGTGTGCATGTTTCCTTCGACGAGGACCATCGGGGAGCATCCTTGGTCATTTGGCGAAAAAAAAAACACGCACAAAACCAACAAAAAACACAGGGAATGGACGTCCGAGCGATGGCCAGGATCAGATACGCTCGTGTGCGATGAGTCGCTTTCAAAGCGAGGCGATCGCCAGCGCCCCGCCCACACTCGTCTAAAAAACAGTCGGGCAGCTGCGCAGACTGAGGGCAGGCCGCCGTTGTCGAAATGAGGCTCTCGCCGTGGCGTCGCGCGCACACTCATGCCGAGAGTAAGTCGGGCATGTCCCTCTACAGGAGGAATGTTCAAACATAGTCAAAGAATAGTCGGGGTATGATTTGTCCGTATGGTTGATTATTGCTGAGTATTGTTTGATGTCTGTCGTGCAAAACCCGCCTGTAGGAGGACACGCCCGACCTAATGTCAAGTCGCAGAACAAGCTACACGGATGGAGAGCGGATTTGCATCAAAGTAGGATGGTCGTTTGGGATTCCCTCCACCCTTATACAAGTACCCGTCAGTCGTTGAAAGTCTGTATTTTGGGATTCCCAGATTCAAATCTACGTTAAGCGCATTCCTACTTGAATGATCGGGTGGCTTCACCTTGTCCCTCCCCCTTTGGGGGGGGACGGAACCCAATCGACCTTCAGCGCATTCCTACGTCAGGTTTATACCTATTCCTTCCGACCGACGGGCAATAATTGTGCAACAGATTGCACGGACGGAGGGCGATCCGTTTCAAATCGGGGCGTTCGTCCGGAACCGCGCCTCCTCCTCCTCCTCCTCCTCCTCCTCCTCCGTTCCTGCTCCTTCTGGATAGCTCCTCCCCGTCGCACCCCGAAGCCACGTCCAGATGTTTTGGCCAGAAGTCAGACCTTTGCGCAAGAGCTGCACGGACGGAGCCGTGTTATCCAAGAAGAGTTGTCGTTGGGCAGTTGTCTGACTCGTGTGAGCCTCCAGCGGAGGGTTGCCATCGGAGACTGCAGCGTATACACTACCAGCGGCGGGCTGTTTTTCAATCCCGCGACTTTTTAAAGGGTCGGGGACGACGTCGGGGCGGTGTGGCGTATACCTGTCCCCCGTTCTCTAAGGGAAGCAACGAAACATGTATACACCAGGATCCCGTATACACCAGGATCCGCATTCCTGTGCGAATTTCAGCGCAGGGTCGGAAAAAAGCTGCGGTGTATAGAGTTCGTGTCCCTACCTTGCTCGCCTCCAGGGTGCCATGGGTTTGGGGGGGTTCGATGGTTTTGCTGTGGGAAGCGTGACGCTCCCACGTCAGAAATCCACGGACCTGGGGTCTCAGGGTTTGGTTTCTTGTGGGAGGGTTATTGTGGCCGAGCCCCTACTGTACATGGTCGCATTGTCCTCGTACAGCTCGACTGATGGAGGGCGGTGCCTCCCAAAAAAGAAGGAGCTCCTGGCCGAAGTGCGGGCCCACCTGGGCGCTCGGCTTTCAAAGACGCCACTCTGCGCAGCGAAACCATCTCTGTTTGTCTGGACTGATACGGAGGGGGGGTGGCGTACGGCAGCATCGCTGATGCAATGGGAGCCCATGCCAAGAAAAGCACCCTGCTCGCCTCCAGGGTACCATGGGTGTCTTGGGTTTCGATGGCTTTGCTGTGGAAAGCCTGGCGTTCCCACACCAAGAAATCAATGGACGTCCTGGGGTCTCAAGGTTGGGTTCCTTGTGGGAGATCTCGTGTTGCCAGGCCTCTACTGTACGTCTTGGGTCTGTGTTAGTCCTCCTGCATCTTCCTGCTCCTCCAGGGTGCGCCTTCGGGGCCAGCGGCGGCTGACTCGCCCCAACGGGGTCCCCAACGAAAGCATAGTCGATACCCCATGCAGGGAACTTAGTTTGACATGTTTCGAGGTCGCCAAGTTTTGTTTCTCTCCTGCTCTTGGTATCGCTCCGACGTGTGTATGTTTCCCTCGGCGAGGACCATCGAGGAGCATCCTTGATCATTTGGCGAAAAAAGAAACCCACACACACACACACACACACACACACACAAACACACACACACACACGAAACCAAAAAAAACACAGGGAATGGACGTCCGAGTGATGGCGAGTGCTGGCTTGAACTGGTTCCCAGCGTTTCTTGGTCTTGGTCGTGGTCCTGCTCCTCCTCTCCCCCCTCCTACTGCTGCCCCCCTCCCCGTATTTCTGCGCGCGCCATCCCGTGCGCGCGGGAGCCTGCGCGGGAGCGCGCGCGCGCGGCCTAAAGTTTCTTTTGACCCCCCCCCCTTCCGTGCGCGCGGGAGCCTGCGCGGGAGCTCGCGCGCGCGCGGCCTAGAGCTTCCGTTTGACCTCCGTCGGGGGCCCGGGGCAGCACCGCAGCCGGCCGCGAGGGGGCCGCCAGGAGAGGGAGAGGAGGGGCGGAGGGACGAGCCGTGTGGCAACACACACTTCCAGCTTGATGCTTCCACTCTGAGCCTATCCCCCCCCCTAACGCTGCCCCCTCCACACCAGCGTGGAGACCCCATTTCCGCGCCCTCGCCTTTGTACCCCTCCTTCTCGCCAGGGGCAGCGCCAGGGCGGAAATGCTCAGGGGGGCTTGCATCGACCCCCAGTCGCCCACCAGACTGCCGACGGGGCTCCGATGGTCCACCCCTCCCACGCCCATGCGGACTTGCCCTCGGGGGTATGCAGCCGATCTACCGGCGACGCATCGCCGATTCCAGTTCGATGTTTCCCCCCCCCCCGAGCCTAGTCCCCCCCCGAACTTTGACCATCCAGAGGGACGCCGGAACCAACCTGACGTGCCCGTGCGCGCCCGTGCTCCCCTCCCTCTCCGCATCACCTTCCATGGCCTCCATCGCTCGCCTGCCGTTGCCGCTCTGGCCGAGGTGTGGCTGGGTACGGGGACAGTGGGCGCAAAGTCCGACAGCACCACTTCTGGTTCCTGGTTCATTCTGAACAGGACTCGTCGTCAGCGTCGCCCAGGTCGGTGTCTATTTGGGACAGCAGGCCGATTGCCCGACAGCGGCCGCTGTCGGCTTCGGACAACATGTGTTGTTGGGCATTGTACCCCTGTTCTTCGTACCCAATTCTTCTGGGCGTCCAAAGGAACGACACAAAAAACGGGGTCGCATGCGCCGACATTGTCGCGTGAGCTGCCTGCGTAAGGTTGCGCGCAAGCGCCCTCTTCTCCAAAGTAGCGTGCCGCGCTGGCGGCCTGCGTAAGCCACCGCGTAGGTTGGCCACGTCTTCTCGCGTAAGCACCGTTTTTGATCGCCGCTCGAGTGGATTCGTTGCCGTGCCCCTCCTTCTCACCCAGGTCGGGGAGCCCTTGCGCTCGTGGCCCGGGGCTGGCCGCGGTCCGAAGAGCCCCCCTTCGTTCCTTGTGTTGCCTTCCTCCTTGGTAGCACGATGGCTGCGGGGAGAAAGATCAGGGGAGGCTCCAGGGTGGCGCTTCGGGGAGGGGGGCGCTCTGAACGGTGTAGGGGGGGGGGGGGGACAAGTCCTGTGGAGAAGAGAAGATTATGAGAGAAGAGAGGAGGGGACAGGAGGAGGAGAGGCGGAGGATGAGGGAAGAGGAGGAGGAGGGAGGAGGACGAGGAGGAGGAGGAGAATAGAAGTCAGAGAAGTGGAGCTATTCGGAACTCTGTGCCACCCAGGAGGGGTAGTAGAGACGGCCATTTAGAGTAGCCGCCCCGTGACGGAGCCGAAGTCCCAGACGCCCGAGGGAGGATCAAGTAGATGCCCCCGCTACCCGACCGGGTCTCCAGAGTTGGGCTGGGTCTGCCCTCATTCAATGCAATCCCAACGGGCGCGCGCGCGCGGGACCCGCTGCGGCGGGGCACCTCATGCCTTGGGTGCAGCCGAATGCAGCGCATGCAGATGATTCTTGGAGACCCGGGATTCTTGATGGTTCCTCGGGGTTGCTAAGGCTGCCTAGAAATTCCTGATGATTCCCACGGGTTCCCACGGACTCCTGTGGGTGCACGCTCGCCCGAGCCACCCAAACCATCGTCCACGCCAGAGGCCGAAGCACGGAGCGCGATCCCACCGGCAGCAGCAACTCCATCGGCGGCCCCTCCGCGACCCGCTTGCACGTGCATGCCATCCGCAGCTCGAAGGGCAGCAGGGGCAGGAACGCCCCCCAGCATCCGAGACCGCGCCGTGGCTGCTCCTCCAGGCCTTCGGACGATGGCCAGCGATCACGTCGGCTGCGCCGCCGTCAACGGCAGCACGATGAGGACCACAGTTCGAAGGGCAGAACTGGCAGGTGCTGATTCTCACCCGGCCCCTGGCCCGGCCTGGCTGCTTGCCGTTGCTTCCCCTCCCCTCCGCCTCGTCGTCCTCCCCTTCCTTCTGCTCCCTGCGCCTCGTCTGCTTGAGGTTGCTTCCTCTTCCGTGCCTCCCCTTCCCTCCTGCTCCCTGCCTGCTGTCTCCGCCCGGCCCCCGTTCTGCCTGCCCGCCGGCCCCGGCCTCCCGCCTGCGCGTTCGTCGTCGTCTGCCTGCGTCTCCCCTCCTCTTTGCCCTCTTCGCCGGGCAGCACGGCCTGCCCGGGACCGGCACGGCGGCGCGCAGAGCAATTTGGCAGGCCCGTTTGGAGCCACAGCGTTGTTTGGGAGCAGCACGCTGTTGCGTTATGTCTGTGTGTGTGTGTGAGTTTGGTTTGGTGGTGTGCGGTGCTATGCGATGTAGCAGGGTGACGTCATCAACGGTGAGCGTCAAGAGCCACCGCGCTCTTGCCTCTCGCTCTGCTGATCTCGCACACCCTCGGTCAGTGGCCAGCGAATGCACCAGCTGCGCCGCCGTCGCCGTCAACGGCAGCACCATGATAAAGCAGTTCGGGCAGCAGGGGCAGGAACGCCCCCCCGAGGCCACGCCGTGGCTGCTGTGCCAAGCCCGCAGACAGTGGCCAGCGAACTCATCGGCTGCGCCGCCGTCGACGGCAGCTCCATGAGAACCGCAGTTCGACGGACAGCAGGGGCAGGAACGCCCCACTCATCCGAGGCCACGCCGTGGCTGGTCTCCGAGGCCATCGGACGGTGGCCAGCGAACACATCGGCTGCGCCGCCGCGAGCGGCAGCACGATGAGAACCACCACAGTTCGAAGGGCAGCAGGGGCAGGAACCCCCCCCCTCGTCCGAGGCCACGCCGCGGCTGCTCCTGCAGGCCCGCAGATAGCGGCCGGCGTCGGCACGAGCCGTCCGTGAGTGCTCCCCGATCTCGACGCCCTGCACACAGGGCCACGTCTTGGAGCCCGCCGCCCGCGAGGACCCACACCGTAGACAGTCGTTGTGGGGACCTGCCTGGGGCCCACCAGATCTGTTCGACTGAAGGCCGGTTCGAGCCGGCGGACATCCTGCGCAGCATCGACGCATATGGGGGTCAGTCTGTCCATCCCCTAGCGAGAACTGGCGTGACCGTCGGAGGGTGGGAGGGGGGAAAGGGGGTCGGTCACGTCACGTTTCTCGCTGGCGCCGCCTGGGAATCCCGAGGAATGCCTAGGCCGCGGGCATTCTCGCGAATGGTAGAAAGACATGCTTATGGGTTGAGCGAGTGGTTCCAGGACGGTGTCCATAAAGAGCACCCTCTGACGCGACCTGTGCGTCGCCACCGGCGCGGGCCGCTGTCTGCTCCCCAACGTTTGCCGCTCGGGCTCGGGGCCGGAGGCACGCGTCGATCCCGCGGGCCTGCATCACGGAACCGTCGAGGAGTCCCGCAACGTCGATTTCACAACGAGGGGGGGAAGGGGTCGGCGCGCTCGCGCCATATCTGGCACCCGACCCCTCCCACCCATCCTTTCCCGTTGCGTTGAATGCTTCTCCATCTGCGGACAGTGGGGGGGAGTAATACGAGGAGGAGGAGGAGGCGGAGGAGGAAGAAGGGGAGGGGGAGGGAAGGGGAAGGGGAAGGGGGAGGAGGAAGGAGGAGGAGCTCATGGCGCCTCCCCACGGGCGCCTCGGATCGCCCCTGGAGTCGTGCTCCATTCAAGACTATAACATTATGAATACGTATCTCCTCTCTTCCCTGACTCTGTCTGGGAACTATGCAACCCTCTTCGCGTATTTTTGTTTGCAAAGTATTCGAACCAACAATTATTGTGCTTAAACAACTCCGATCGGTTTCGGTGTTCAAAGATGGTGTTCCCGCTGCAGCGTTGGCCTCATGTTCGGATCGGCGCTTTGCTTCCATCGTTCAGACTGGCGCCCTCGCCCCAGCGCGGGCCGCTTTTCTCGATCCGAAACCTGTTTGTCCATCGTGTTCGCCCCCCGCAGTTCCCGTCCTGCTCATTCTCATGCTTCTCTTTGGAGTTCTAGGTCCGCTATGACAGGCGTCCGCGGGTATTGGAAAAAGCAGCGCAATGGGAGGGGACGGGTGGGAGGAGTAGGATGTCAGATATGGCGCGAGCACACCCAATTAGCTTGTCTTTCCCCCCCTCTCTCCTTCCCTCCCCCTCCCCCTCCCCCGCGGAAGCTGGCGTGCTGGACGGGGGCCCTGGCGAGAACGGGCCTGGAGCCCCAGGGTTTGCCGCGGGACAAGCGCCTCACCCCGAGCCGCTTCTTCATTCACGCTCCGGCCCGGAAGACCGAAATCGGTGAGGAACCACTGAGGACCCAGACGTCCCCAAACATGGCCCTCTTTCGAATGGGAAGACAAACTCATGAAAAAGCTGTCGGAGGTCCGCGCGGGTTTCTCTGATCTGCGCTGGGCCATCTTGGCGGCGCCTCTGGCGCCCCCCTGGCGCACTCCGCGCGCCAGAAGGTCCAGCGCCGATCCGAGAAATCCGCGCTGACCTCCGAAAGTTTGTGTTTATGCAGCTGTCTTCTGCCTCGAACAACTTGTTATCCCTCCTCCTCATCTTGTCTGCTTCCTCCTCCGTGGAGGCGAGAACGGAGGGGGAGGGCCTCCCAGATGGGGTCAGAGTAGAGTTGGGTCGGAAGGTCACGCCGAACCGCCGATGCATCGGGGATGCGGCTCGATGTGGGGCCCAATTTTCTCCACGCCGACGTCCCCAATGCACCGCCTTGATATCGCTCGGACGTGTGCACTTTTTCTCGGCGGGAATTATTAAGAAGCATCCTGCATCATCCTGCGAAAAAAACCACGCACGAAACCCAAAAAAAACACAGGGAGTGGACGTCCGAGCGATGGCCAGCCGCCGACGTCGCCAGGCCATCGCCGATGCATTGCCGATGCAATGCATCGGCGAGGCGGCGAGATCCTCTGGCCCCGTCCACTCGGGAGCCCGACTTGCTCCACGCCGATGGCGCCGATGCATCACCGGCGACAGGGGTGCATCGGCAGTGCCTCGGCGATGCGGCGCGAGCCTCCGATCCCCAGTGAGGAGGCCTCTATACTTGTGGAAGCCGATTGATGCAGAGGAAGCATGCTGCCAAATAATGTCCAGATGTCTAAAAGATGTGTTAAAAAATGTGTTAAACATGTAGAGAATGGTTGGACCATGTTTAAAACATGTGTTACACATGTTCAACGCATCTTTGAGTCAATGATGGGATTGTCAGAGTGTCCATGGTCATGGCATCCACGACTCTGTACACACCCCTGGAAAGGTAATGCAGCGTGTGCAGGTCGTGCCGAAGCATCGCCCAGGGGACTTCCCCGGGGGGGGGGCTTTGTTTTCCCAGGGGGGTGTTTCTGACGGTGGCCGTGGCCCGAGCACGGCCCCCCAGGAGCCGAAAACGAGGAAACACCGGAGGCGACGAAAACAAGCGAACCTGCGAATTACCCAAGTTGAGGCTAGCGGAAGGGCGGACGGACCCCCGGGGCCGGCCTCAGCTTTGGCCTCGTCTCCCGAGGAGGAGGAGGAGGAGGAGGAGGAGGAGGAGGAGAGGGGGAGGGAGGAGGGATGAGGCCCCAGCGGCTGGGCTGGACGTGCTCGGGCCCCCGTGCCCGGTGCTGCTTCCGCGCGGTGGCTCTCCGCTGCGGGCGCGAGCGCCCCAGCCACCGCGGTCGGTGGAGGAACAAAAAGACGCCCCGTTCTCGAGCGAGCGAGGGAGGGGGCCCCAGACCCCGCGCCGTGAGAGGTTCAATCTTCGAACCTGGAGGATGGAGGTTCTTTTGTGTTGCCTCTGGGGGGCTGCTCGTCGCCACGGCTGGATCCGCCTTCAAGTTGTGGTCAGGAGGCACCCCAGGAGAGGTATGAGGGTCGACTTGCGGCGCCTCTCTCCAGACCCAGACCCTTGCGCGCGTCGGGTGAAGATCATGGCGGGAGGTGTTCTGCTTCTTTGGGCCCCTGGGGGCCCTCGACGGGGCCCAGGACTGTCAGAACGCGACGAGGGGTGGAATGCCGATCCCAGGGGGTGGTCGACGTTATCAAAATCACGACGTGGGGGGTCTGGGGAGGAAGGGAGGAGACGAGAGAGGGCGGGACGGGGACGCAAGAGAGAGGGGAGGGAGAGAGGGAGGAGGAGGACCTCGCCTGCCTCGAACGAGGGAGGCGAGGGTGAGGATCGAGCTGCTTGGGCGTCCTCTTTGGCACTCACGCTCCATGTTGGATACGGCCAGGGGCCCCGAGGTGAGGCCCCAGCGGCTCCAGCGGAACGGAGGGGGGGCGCAGGCACAGCGGCACACGCCGGCATATTAGCGCGCCCGCACCGCAGCAGCAGCAGCTGAGTCTCCCTTCCGCTCGCGTAGGGCACCGGCGGGCTTACAACCCGCACACGTCGGGGCTCAAGAGACTCCTCTCCTCCTCCCCCTCCTCCTCCTCCTCCTCCTCCTCCTCCTCCTCCTCCTCCTCCCTCCTCCCTCCTCCTCCTCATCCTCCTCCTCCTTCCCCGTTGTTTTCCAACCTCTCCCAGTCATCACCCTCTCCCAGTATCCCAACAGAAAAAATCCTCCTTCTCCTCCTCCTCCTCCTCCTCCCTCCTCAACCTCCTCCTCCTCCTCCCTCCTCCTCCCCCTCCTCCTCATCACCCTTACCTCCTCCTTCCTCCCTCCCTCCTACTCCTCATCCAGGCCTGAACCGAATCCAGCCACGCTGGCCCCTGCCGCACTCGCCAGAAAAGTACAGAAGAAGAAGAAAAAAAAAGAACTAAAACGTTAATACTACTACGCTTGCTACGCCTCGGTCTGGGGGCAAGCCAACATTTCTGAAGGTTCGCCCATCAGGCGGGGGGGGGGGGGGCGACGGCACCCCTCGCTCGTGGACGAATACGCAGGTCTTCGCTGAGTGGGATATACCCCCCACGGGAGTGGAACGCTTGGTGAGGAGGCTGGGGTGGTGGCAAACGACTGCAAAGGATCCCGAGCACCGCCGTCACTTCCTGAGCGCGTGCTCTGGAGAGTGTACGTTCGCGACACGGGCCAGGGAGGCAGGCCAGGCTGCAGCCGTGCCCACGCTGCTGGAGAACAGGGGAAGTTGACTCCGACGAGGGCACACAACCTTGGGTGAGGCGATTCCTTTGTGATGTACAGAAGACCGTGTCCTACCCAGTGGGGGAGGAAGTGAAGGAACGATGGCAGCCACCGATCTTAGCGTTGAGTCGGGCCTGTCCTCTACAGGGGGGAATATTCAAAAATAGTCAAAAAATAGTATAGGGACCATGTTTTGACCATGCTTGACCATTTTCGCATATGTTTTGAGTCTATTTTATCTGTTGTCGAAAATGCCCCTGTAGGGGGACACGCCCAGCTGAACCTTGGCGACCTTATTCGGCGACCCCGATGTGACGGATGCGTTTCGACATTGACCTCCTGGCGCCTTGCGTTCCACGGTGCGGGGCCAGGAGCGGGCCCCTCCAGGGCACGTCCGCGGGCAGCGTCCCGACGCCTCCCCCCCTGGGAGAGACCGACAGTAAAGAACCGGTTCTTCACCCCTTGGTGCGTGGCTTGGCATTGCTCGGACGTGTGCATTTTTTCTCGGCGAGAACCATCGAGGACCATCCTGGACCATCGAGCCAAAAAAACACGTACGAAAAATGCACGGGAAATGGACGTCCGAGCGACGGCAAGACAGTGAAGAAGAGGTTTTTCGCCCTTTGGTGAGTGGGCTGGGGGGGGTACAGGGCGAGGTGTTCGACGTTGCGGGAGCTGATGAAACATCAGATCAGTGCGACGACAGTGCCAGGGCACGGTGCACCACCGATCCTGTCACAAGCATGCGCCGATAACGAATGCATGTATTGTGTCACTGTTTGTAGGTGCGTCGACCACGCCACCAGGCGGCATTTGAGCAGAGCGTGGCTTTCAAACAGGTGTCGCCCTGAAATGGCCCAGCACACCATGGGTACCGTCTGTCAGTGCACAGTGCCCCCTGATGGACTGGTCTGACCAGGCCGCATGCCAGCTGCGTTACGACAGCCCCGACGCCCCTCGAACGCACCTGGCGACCCACACCCCCCCCACTCCGTCAGGCTCTCGGCTCAAGACTGCGCCGACTGGGATCGCCAACAGTCCGAGCGTCGGCACAAATCCGCCTGTAGGGGGACATACCCGACCCCAGTCTTGCGTGCCTGTCGGAACCCCGTTGCGCGTTTCTTTGGGGCCTCTGGGGGCCCTTCTGGGAACGCCGCGCAGGACGTAGACGCGGGACCTCCCATACGCGTCTGGGGCCAGTTGGGAAGCTTGTGTTGGAAGCATTTTCGGGGTCTCTGGGGGCCGCCTGGGCTTTCTTAGGGGTCCCTTTTGGGGCCCGTTTGGGCTGGCCGTGGGCCCTCTTAGACTTCGTGGGCCCGTCGAGGTGCCAACTTGGGGCCTTGGGACCTTTTGGTGTCCCTCTGGGGCCTATTTTGGGCCGTCTTGAATGCTTTTAAGACAGTTTTGGAACCCTCTTGACCCTTTTTGGTGCTATTTTGGATGCTTCTTGGGCGAGATTGGGGAGTATTGGGTCGTCTCGGACGCTGTTAGGACCGAAGAAGCGATATGCTAAACATATACTTCTCCCGAATGGAATGCGACGATGCGTGCCTCTTGGGTGGCGTCGTGGTCTGGCTTGAAGGCCTCTGTTGCCGTCTAGCAGCCGTGTCGGGCCCTCTTGGAGCGCTCTTGGACAATTTCGAAAGTAGTTTAAGGCGCCTTGGGAGCCTCTTGGGCCAACTTGGGGGCTCACTTGGGGAGCGGTTTCGACAGTCCGGAAGATTTCCCGACAGGCGCTCCGGGGCCCGGAAGCAGCGTCCAAAAGGTATTGATGGGGATCGGCCATCCGGGGGTGATTTCCCATGCAGGATGTACGATTAGAAAAATAGGTATGTCTGAGCATACAGACAGGTATAGAGGAGGAACAAGAGCAGGAACAAGCAGAGCAGGAAGGTGGGAGACGAGAAGGGAGGGATCTGAGGAGGAGGAAGTGGAGGGCAGAACGAGGCGGAGGAGGAGGAAGAAAAGGCGAAGGAGGAGGACGACGACGACGACGAGGATGACGACGACGAGGAGCAAGACGAAGAGGAGGATGAGGAGGAAGAGGACGACGACGAGGAGGAGCACGACGAAGAGAACGAGGCCGAGGCCGAGGCTCCCCCCCCCCCCGGGTGCCGCGAGGCCGCGGCGCACCGGGAGCGCGCCGCGCTGCCGGACGAGGCGCGCGCGCCCGCCCGCCCCCAGCGGCCGCGGCCTCCGCCTCCGGTCGGCCCTGACAGGGCCTCCGCTCTCCTTCCCTCTCTCCCATCCCCCCCCCTCCTCTCCCTCCTCCTCCTCCTCTCCTCCTCCTCTCCTCCTCATCCTCCTCCTTCCCCTCCTCCTCAGCCTCCCTACCTCCTCCTCCTCTACCCTCCTCCTCTCCTCCTCCTCCTCCTCCTTCCTCCTCCTCCTCCTCATCTCTCCTCCTTCCTCCTCCCCTCCTCCTCCTCCTCCTCCTCCTCCTCCTCCCTCCTCCTTCTCCTGGACCTCCGCCTCCGGTCGGCCCAGGCAGGGCCCAGGGCGATCCGACCGATGCAGAAGCCGGAGGCGACGCTACAGTCAACCCTCGGGGCTCACGAGACGGGGGTCAGTGCAAACGGGGGTCAGCCAGGGCACCGGATCGGGTCGTCGGAGCCTAATGGGGGTCAGCCAGGGCAAGATCGGGTCGTCGGAGCCTGATGGGGATCAGCCAGGGCACCGGATCCTGCAGGATCCTGCGAAGACCCCCTCTGGCTGACCCGGGGTAGCGAGCCGCTCGTGGCCGCGAGGCGGCCGCGCATATTGGTTGACCCCGGTTTGCGAAGGCTTGCGTTGCAGTTTTTGTTCCTGCATTGCGGTTTTTGGTTTCTTGCTGACCCTGGTCTGGATTGAGGATCCATGAAACCCGCATGATAAGCATGGGCAATTTTCCCAAGGGGCACCCTGGCATCCTTGCCTCCTCGGCCCCTCCTTGGCCACTCTCGCTAGCCGCGCCCCGCTCGCAGGGCTTCGAAGTGGGCGCCCAAGGCGCATCCTTCTGATACGGGCCGACTGTAGGGGCGTGTTGGGTTGCCCAGGGGCGGGCAGCACACGTAGTCGCCCAGGAGCCCTGCCGCAGGCATGAACCATCGGCGCCCTTGAGTACATGCATTTCAGCGGCACCGTAACGGGTATACACTCACGGGTATTTAGGCAAATTGCCGAAAGTTGCAACTTTAGGGCCTCTTTCTGGCATTGCAGCGTTGCCCACATCGGGGAGGATTGAGTTCGTTGGGTCACTGGCCAAAGTACCCGTCAGTGGAGCCCCCGTTGAAGGGGCACTGAGTACTGCTCTCCCCTGGGCTGTTCGTCCCCATCGCCGCCCTCGGAAAGATCAGCCACGCGCGGCGGCACAGAGCAGCCGCCCGCGTGCCGACGATCGGGGAAACGGAAGACTCGAGTACGCCGGAATTCGGGTTTGCCGACGTTTTTTTGATGAGCGCGTCCTGGATTCTGACGGTTCAGTTTTCGTGGGATGCTTGCAGTGGGAGCCCGCGTCAAATTTCAGATTGGGTCGCGTCATTTTCATGATAGCCCTGTCGGGCCAACCCGAGTCCCCCGTACCCGAGTCTGACGTCTTCCCGATGTGGGGCTCGCGTTGGAGATCGACTACAGAGTTGATATACCCCAAAACTGGAAATTCTCGCCAAATCGACGAAAGTGATGCAGAATGTCCGCAGATCGGGGCCCTCTCGCAGCGATTTGGGGGGTTTCTCGGGCTGTCGTGGACGCCCAGGCAGGCCACTTGGATGTGTTGTTGTAGACTCGTGTACATTTACTTGCGCGGCATCCCCCTTCTCCACGGCCGCCTTCTCAAACAGCGTCCGGCCGAAAAGGCGTGCGAGTGTGTCCCGACTTGCGTGAAATCCAGACTTCCTCTCGAGCCTCCCCCCCTCCATGCAAGTAGAATTGTTTGACCCCATGAATTTGTTTTGCGCACCAAAGAAAAGCCGTCGCGAGTTTGCGGCGTCGCCCAATTCCGTGGAGCCTGGAGAGTGAATGCACTACAGCCAGGCGTCCGCAGGCTATTTGCATTTTTGGTTACCAGACTCAGGGACTCTCGCAGTTTCACGTGCATGGTAGTTCCCCCCCCCGCCGCATCTGCATGCAACGCTGGGCCGAAAAGGCGTGCAAGCGATTCCCGAGTGGCATGAAGTCCCGACTTCCTTTCGGGCTTCGCCACGCTTCTCCCCCATTTCCCCTCCATGCACTAATAAAAACACTCCCCAGCAGTCGCGAATGATGCATGATGGTCTCCAGATATGAGAGGCCAGGAAAGGGAATGCATTCACCACGTCCAGGCCTCCGCAGACCACTC